TATTTTAAATATTTTTGAGCCTTTTATATACATTTGATTTTTTTCTATTAGCAACGATACAGTTTTTTCCGCTTGATAAAAACTTTAATTTATAATACAAGGTGTTTCGTTAGAAGTTATTAATGGAATTATAGTAATTACCTACTAAACACATTTTATTTATAGRTGCCTAACATTTTAAATTTGACGATTTAGATATTTTCACATAAAATAATGATTCTTTTTTTTAATACAAAAAATATAGTAATTATTTATATATATATTTAAAAATKTATTTTAATTTTAACTTTAAGTGTTGATATAAGTGTTAAGTATTTAGGCTCAATCAAAAAGCTTGAAAGTTTAATAAAATCTACCAAATATATATAAATAATTGGCCAATTGTTCGTTCTTGTAGCAATTTAAAAGTATTAAAAATACAATATATACATACAATTATTAATATGTGATAGACAAAATAATTCAAAATCACAATAAGGTTTCAYTATCATAGTAATAGTGTTGTTAAAAATKAATTGAATGTTCAATTTTTATAACTAAAGCTTTAAAATGTAGTATAAGGTTCTCATAATTGTTCCTTGTGTAACCAAAAAATGTAAAATGTATACACACACAATTTTTTATTTAAAATTTAATTTCAAACGCAATAAGGTATTTGACGAAAAATAACGATTTTAGTTATTTTGTGGTATCTATATAAATATTATCTTTGACATACAACTTTTACGTATATTATTATTATTATTTTAGTATAATTTAAATGCACAATGAAATGTTCATAGTATAATCAGATTAATAAATGATAGTACAAGTTTGTACATAGTACATAAAAATAGTGGAGAATTATTTATGAAATTAAAATCTTCTAAAAATATAATTTCAATATTTGTTTATATCATATTATTACCTACGACCTATCTATATTTTTTAAATAACAAAAATTTGATTATTATTACAAAGATTTTTCATGGTAAATAAGTTTTCTATTTTAATCTATATACCTTATCATTTGTCTTGAAAGTGTTAATGTCGTGATTATTGGATTATTGTATAGTTCTTATTGAATAACTTTTGCCGGTTTTTTACAAACATTATCATCATCTAAAAGTAGCTGCATGTTCTCTTTAATTTACGAAGTCGTTGGCGAATTCAACCACTTTCACCGGTTTTAGTTTGAACTCATATGAAATCATTATGGTAATTAATGATATAATGTTTGTTTTGACTGTATATAATAATATGTCGCGATAAATAAATGTAGTAAAATGTTAATTAAAGTCAATCTATAGGTGTAAAATTCGTTAAACATAGAAACATTTTCATTTGTCTCACATGTTTAAGAGGTGCCGCGCAATCACCCATCAATTTTGAAATATCTGTACTGTAATTATATAGCATCACATCCACCATTATATTGCTTTATAACGGCGGTGCTTGTTAAAATTTAAAATGATAACATTTTCTTTAGTTGAAAAAAAAAATGATGCACTTTACAGTAACTGAAGTGTTAGCCCGCAATATCCAACGCAAATGTACAATTAACAAAACCATTTATTTATTCGAATGCAATTTAAAAAAAAAAATTATATTATATAGTATCAATGATATAAAATATTGTAATGATATGTCAGACAAGGTTTTGATGAAATTGGCATACTTAAATATCTTCTTATCCAAATCATACTGTACATAATAATATGTAGGTATACAATATTGCTGAGTAAATATTGAAAAAAAATTCAAAAATTATATAATGATTAAATCGAATTTTTGTTGTTTTTTTTCTGGATATATTGTATTACAGAACGTCCAGAATATAATATTATAAATTTTAAAGTAGACAGAAAAATATACAATTCGAATTATAATGTAATCAGATTTTTGCCATTTCGGATCGTATCAACAGCTATAGCTATCTATAGTTGTGTGCGGTGCGTGTGACACATTTCTGGTGACACGTGTTTCGAAAATCGTACTGTTGTAATGACGATGAGGACAAGATAATTCATAGTTTTTGAAAACCAGCTAGCAAATTGCATACCGCCTACCTTGCAAAATGTATAATAATTGTATTATACCGACGACGACGGCGATAATCCAGTCAATGGTTATGTATTATTTTCAGCGATTCTCCGAACTGATCGACATTTTTGCGTCCCTTTTGGTGCTGGGTTGGTGGTGGGGGGGGTGTCCTCAAACGATGCGTGCATTACAGGACACGTGTTCTGTTGGGTTAGGTATATAGATATTGCTAAAGATAACCTATTATTTCCAACAAAACACAGATAATGTTCTTACCATCAAGTTTCATAGTAAATCTATTCAGTCTAATTTTTAAGCTAACTGAGTAAAACGTGAACTGCTGAACGTAAATTTTCTATRTTACGCGTTTGTAAATCTCAGATAACAACAAATACGGGTGTTGTGCCCTCATAAATCTCATCAATAATGAAATCCCGGAATAAAAATTCCTAGACGAACGAGCCCAGAAAAAAGGGCATATCCCGAGTGCGTCCCGTTTTTAATTTTTATATTTTTTATAGCCCGAGTGCGTCCTCGGTCCACAGCTGCTATAGGTATATCTATTATTAAGATAAAATAATCGAACTTTTAAGATGCCTCCATGTTTGGCGATCGATATGGTGGTTTAAGTGTAAAGCATATTTTAAATGAAAGTGGAGATAATCTTATAGAGAATAAATTAGATCATAACCACGAAAAAGACGTTCAAGACATTATAGTTAGACAAGTTATTCGTGATTCATTAAAAAGGAAAACACAGGATGAGATTTGTGGACAGCCACTTAAATTAATACATCATGAACTTAAGAAATTTAACACGGACACATTAAATAAAACCGATATGAATTGCTTTCGTAAGAGTATATATTTGGCAAGACGATCAAAACTACCAGAAAGACTATGTAATATTAAAAATGTACATGAAGTATTGGATTTGTTAGAAATCAAAACTTATGACGACGAACAATTTCTAATGGTAAACGATTAATCGCAGGTCCGACTTACTAACGCAGGACATGACCTATCAAACCAAAATGTAAAGAATAATGAAAACATATTTTGGGCTCCACGTAGGATTTTTATGATATTTTTATTTTGTAGCATGTTATGAGCATTTTAATCTACAAAATCTATTAAAATATTACATACATCCCATATAATATTCTTACCTTTAAATTTGATAAAAGCTTAGGCCAACTCGCTTTAATACTATATATATATTAGGAATAGCCAAGCGTAATTCATTTTTTTAAACTTAAAGTTTGTCAGGGTTATACTGGCCCGTTAATAAAACGGAGACAACTATCATCTGATTACGACGTCCTCTTAAGGGGGTAGTAAATTATGAAAACACGAAAACGCTCATGTCGTTACGAGATATACCTATTAACAATAATAATAAACTTCACGTTTCCATAAGTGATTGACGAGTGACGAAGGAGAAAAATTAACGTACCATCGATCGATTAGCCGAAGCCCCGCGCGTGTATGTAGGTAGGTGGTTAGGTACAAAATATAATATAATATATTATTTGGGAAAAATATAAAAACATTATGATACGTAAATGATACGCTCGTCCCTGGAGATTGGCGTGACCGGCGCCGGTCGTCATTATTATAATAATATTTAGGTCTTAGGTACGGCGGGCGCCGGCGTAGGGTCTCTGCCGGCTCGTTTTCCGCACAGAGTGCAATCCCCTCGGCGGTATTTTACTATTATTCGGTTGTTGTTTTTTTTACAATTCGTTCGTCCTCGTCCGGGACCCTAAACGAAGGAAAAGAAAGCGATTTTTTCAAGCACAACTTGCTACTAAAATCGCGATGATAGTACAAACCGTTTTAATAACCTAATGGATCGTGACACGATATATACAAAGCGGTCGGCGTCTTATAAATATGTAAAACAGACACGTATGTCATATTTATATATGTAAGCCATCGTTTTTAATATAGGTAATATAACTTGTCGTCACTGTTGTAATATTTCTGTGTATACGGAAACGTTTGGCTGGGAAAACAAAGTACTTAATACCTTGTTGTTGTTGTTGTTGTCGTTGTTGTTACCATTATTGGTACTATTTATTAGTATAAAACGTTTAACCGAAAAAGATATTTTAACATTTTTGTATAATAGTATTAATAGTAGTGAACGCGTCGTGTAATGCGTGGACAGAAATTATTTCGAAAGGGACAAATTATTCATAATGATAATAAAAAAACACGCTCGTAAATAAGAAAAAAGTAGTAATAACATTACATAATTTAAGGAATTTGTTTTTTATAATAAATGATGACAAAATGTTGAAACTTAAGTAAACAATATTATCATCGATTAAAATATTTATAATCTGTGACTATGACAATTAGGTACAATTATTATAATTACAATTACCTATTATTGCAACCATTACAATGGTAATTGCTGCATGACACAGTCGGTGTGTATTGCTGCAAGTTAGATAAATCCGACTGCAACGGATARAGGATCACGAGTATAATAATTGTATTTTGGAAGAATTGCAATTATTATGACTATATTATTATTCCGATCCATCAGAGTAATAATGTTATTTTCACTCTTTCGGTACAAATTAATAATGTGAGAAATTACACCGACATTCTTGAAACGCATAACCGGTCAGTGGCGATCGTTCGACGTCCCCTCAAATTCGCGTGCAGCACAACCGTCTTGTATGTTCTAAGAATTAACTACCTGAAAGTATTTTAGGAGTAAATTTAATGATCAGACGTCGGCAATAATATTATGTTGTTAGACGTTTGTGGTGCACTTCGATCTTTGAAAATTATAACATTGCAATTTTGTTCTCGTTAACAGTGTATAATACTAATTAGCTTTAATGATATTATTTGTATATTATTGCTTTATTAGGTGTGTTTTATTATCACAATGATCGTTTTAATTGTAGTTATCGAATTTAAKCTGTGCATATTTATAATTTTAACACGTTTTGTTACAGGTAAGAAAACTCAATCGCTGGCCAGCGTCCCAAAAAGAGTCAACCGCAAAACTTCAGGTATTTTGTTTGCCCATAGCATAGTCATAAATCTTAACACCATAATATTATACTAACACGCACGTTAATCGTTCCTCGTTTGCGGCCGATAACACAATCTTTGGTTACGATTACCGAAAACTCCACATTGTAGACAACATTAACATCGATATTCAATAAATAATGAAACCAAGTATTGGTAACAATTATTGGATGGTCGACGCTTACTACACTTTTCTAAACGGAATATATACGTTTTACGTTTAAATAGGTAGTGATGATACATAATATATAGTCCGAGCGTGTGACTATCGCGATTGATTGAGTATACTTTCTAAAAATGAACGACAAAATATAATGTGCATAATATCTAATCAAGGATTTATATTATCCTCTTACTCGTTGACTCGTATACTTACTTAGGCTTTAAATTATTGATTTTAATTACTCGTTTTAAAAGAGAAAAAGAAAGGAAAAACGTTTAACATGTCTTAAAATTAGTTATTCATTATTTTGCAGTGTATGAACGGTCGGTATAGCACCGGTCTTAAATTCACTTCCAAACGTTGTACCAACTACTTTTGATCATAAAAATGTTGTGCTTACACGCCGTTTGATGTGTAATATCAATATTATCATAGCGTATATTAAATGCTTACATTAATTTCTATATATTATATTTACACGACGGGCGTCGTCGTCTATTCGTTAGTTGGAAAATGACAATTTAAAAACGGTTAATTACGAGAAAGTTATAAATGAATTACAATACACATTAAACGCGTATCGAATGCAATTATACATATAGCCAAATCGAGTACGATATTAAGCAGTTGCCTAAATAMTATAACGACATCGTGTCTTGTATTTGGTTTGAAATTAATGAGTGCAGATCTCCCAATAAAACAGTTTACTTTATAATTACAATCGGGTTACGTATATGGCACGTTGTTAAATTTGAAATCAGTAATAATCACTTACGATAAAACAAATACACACTTGGATTGTGTTCAAAACCATTATAAACATAATATAATGCATAAATGTATGCCAACCATACAAGTTAATTAATTTGTATTGTTCTGGTTTGGCACAATTCATAACTCTTTCTACCTATTACGCATCATAATAATAAARTATTCTAGCTATTAACAAAAAAAAATTTTCATATTTAAAAAATAATAATTTTAGTTGTATGTTACATAAATGTATTGAGTAAATAGATTTATTTTTTTATTTGAACATTATGAAATGTACAAATCTAGACGATGAAAAATATTTTCACACWAAATACAGTGAATGATAATTTATTATATACAATTAAAAAGTTATGAATATTTTATTATATTTTATGTTTTCCTAAATCAAATAGTAGATATTAATTCAAGAAATTATACGATATTATACGAAATTATACTATATTATAAATTATAATTATACGAGGTGATTCGTCTATCAATCATTACCCCCTGTATCCGTCCATAATAATTTCTTTCGAATGTTTTGATTTTCGGAATTTTTAGGTACCTACATAACAACCTATAAGTGTAGGAACCTAAAAATTCCTTACAAGTTATATAAGGACTATATTTTCAAATACTTACATTTTAATGAAATTTAAGAGTTGAGTATCTTGAGATATAATCAATTTTTTTTATACGAGAACCACTTTTTTGAATTTGTTAAGTTGATTTTTTTTTTTTAAATTTTTACTTATCTAATCTGATATTTGAATTTTCTGATTTGAATTATTTAAGTTTATGGATATTAATTATTGGCAAAAATGGTTTGTGTATTAAAATTTACTATTAACTATATCAAAACATTTAGTTTATATTYGAAACAATATGATAGACTTAATTTGRTTAGTACACATAGTACATACATTTTAATAATCCTAAAACTTCTTTATCGAATTTCGATGTTGGTTAATTAAAGTTTTTCATAAACAACATCTGTTTACCTATCAATTTTCAGTAAGAAGTATATTATAGGTGCCTATTGCCTACCCATATGTATCTATATACGCGATTACGCAGTATATGATATACTTAATTAATGGCGTAAAAACATTGTAATTGAAAATATGATCCTTAATTGTGCTTAACAACTTCAGAATTAGATTATGTACAAATGCATTATTGAAAGGAAAATGGAGGTGAGCAGTATTAACTGTATAATTATGTAATTTTCACTTATATATGATTTTGACATTCGTATAATGTATTAATATTTATTAATTAATATATAATTTAAAAAAAGWTTTTAATTTTTTACATTTGTTGTCTGTTGTATTAAAGTATTTTGATTTTGAATTATAAAGACTGAATTTCCAAAATATTTTTTTTTATCCTTAAATATGTAGGTACCTACTATATTATTTCGCTGTTACGCCATAATGAATAATTTTAACGGTGTCTGCGTTGGCAAGATAATTATTTTCCTGGTTATAGTTTATAATATAATTGGGAAATGGAGCTATTCGACATCATTTTCACTGAATGCAAGCATATTATATATTTTTAAATTCAAAATTACTCAAAAACTTTTTTTTTAAACGAGYGAAATTAGTTTTTTACTATTGGAATACCTATATATAAGAATGAATAGACTATTGTTATTTGTTACAAGTTATTATATTAAGATTTTGTACTTTACAGTAAACTATTCTGTGTGAGAATATTTCTAGGTTCCTATAATATAATACATTTCGATCATATTATAAYCCCTACATATAAGTCTAGAGATTATTTAGTTGTTTGTATATTAACATGTTGACATGGATTTTTAATTATTAATTATTAGACGTTCACGTTTTAAACAAAAAAATAGGTAGTTTTTAGTATTTGAAAGAAAATTACATGCATTTTTATTTATGTATCTACTTAATTATGTTTTGTTATTAACTTTTTTTATAAAATTTCTATATCACAACGACTATTCCGTAATCTTTTAAATATAGCGTTAAAATGTTTATATTGAATTTAGATTTATTCAGCACGAACGAACTACATTATAATTTATAATTCACATTTCGCTAAAACAAATGATTTATGAAAACCACAATGAAAAGTGTCTACTCAACAGCTTCGGTGATTATTATTACTATTACTATTTATTTATATGTTTTATAGTATTTCCTAGTGAGTCGTTTGTTTGAATTATTAGAATACGTTAGGAAATCACGGCGAGAATTTATGTCAATATGGAGATGAGTTTTGAAATATAAATTCTATAATATTATATAGCGTTTTTGCACTGCAAGGTTAAGATTTTTTTCTCTTTTTCTCATACAGCTTCGGTACAGCCTTGTTCTCGGGCCGGCATCTCGTTTTTTATCGGAGGCCACTCGTTGTTCATGGATACCTATATAGCAGGAATAGGAAATCCTTGATCTTGTATTTGCCACGCGAATAACTACCGTGCACAGCCGCGCCATGTTGAATGTCGCCCATATACCTGCGGCACGCGGCTGGTTCGCTGTATATCCTCCGAATTTCTCGGTAATTGGCTCCGAAACACCGCAAGAAGGATCTTCGCGAATCCTTATTTTCCCACCGCAACGTTTGCCTACTGATTACATCGCGAATAATATATACCGTTCACTTCCGCGTAAGAGTTTGTGTGTGGACCGTGTAGAGAAGACGCCGTCTATATAATATATATATATATTACGTCTAACTGTTTTAGAGTGTGCGTGATTGTTATCACGCGCTCGTGCGATTTTCTCCGTGACTATTGGTTACCAAAATACGTTAACGCGTCTTAATTTCTAATTGTGACCGTCGTCCACGATAGAAAAAAAAAAAAAAATTTTAACAAACATTTTTAAGAATTATTATTTTCCGACAAATAACGACTGTTTGTCACGTGTAAAAGATTTTAACGGCCGTGCACATTGACTCGAATATATTTTCGAATCACACAAAAGGACTGAACATAACAATATAACATATTATGTTGTAATCACAAATTATAGTTATTACTCGCGCTTATCTCAAAAGCCAATATTTAATAAAATCTTTGTATGGTTTTAATCAACTTAATTCGGCTAAGTATTTGATTCATTCACCACTAGAATTTAAACATTTAAAACAAAGATTATAATATGCCTAAAATTTATAACAGCAGTCTTAAGTAAAACCTAAGGATGTTTATATGAGACGAAACATTTTAAATTGTATGATGTAGGTACACTACTCGATGGATGTATTGCACTTTGTAGCCTCGTCAATACAATAGTAGTTAAAGTTTGTTGTSAGTTTCTAAAGCTCAAAACAGTAAAGTCTTCTAGTTAAAAACAAACGGGAATTTATTATTCACTGCATTATCACCGGGTATTCAGTCGATACACTGACACAATTTTAATGTAGGAAACTACCGATACATCCTATATCTATACAAATCGTACTGTCAAGTGGCGTATTTTGGGTGATTTCTCTATTCTAAAATAAAAATAGTAAATTATAAAACAAATGATAATACCAATATTTAGGCGTTTTTTTTAAAAAGTCTGAGGTTTCCAGACATGGAAGACACCCCACCACCAAAAAAAATAATATGTATATATATACGCCACTATAACTGTATATAATATTTATATTTGTAATACGGCGATGAATTTATAATAATAATAAACCTGCCAACTATTATAAATCCAGAAACAAAAAATAAACCACGTGGTTACTGTGATGTTTTTTCTAGATTATATTATTACATTATTATCGTTTCTTTCACTTTCACGTACGAAAAACCTTCGCGCGTGCTAAACCGACGTAGGTTTAAAAATAAAACAAATACAATATCAATATATATTATTATAATTATATGAACGGCGCTTTGTGGACCATAGCGTAGGTATTGGTTATACATATTGGCAACGTACATATTCAATTAACCCGTCTTAAAACCGGATGTGTGTAGTGTGTTTCAAATGCATTTCAGAGGGTGTCCAAATTGTTGATAAACGAGATATGCGTTCAGAGGTTTCTCTAAAAACGGTACACCAAAGGAAAGGCGAA